AACTGGATGACACAAAAGAATTTCAAGACAACATATGATCAAGAAGTAGTGGTGATAAAGGAGGAAGCTCAGGCTGCTCTGAAGAACTCTGTGAAAAATAAAACCCAAGGATTTGAGGGAAGACTAATTGTCGTATTTCAACCAACAGGTGCTGCCCTGGGTACACTCACCAGGTTGTGAAAGGAAATCTGAAGGACAACTACTTGGCTAACTGACTGGAAGAGATCTATATTTATTCCCATTTCAAAAAAAAGGTGACCCAAAAGAGTAGAAATTATCAAATCATATCACTAATATTATATACTATCAAAATCCTACCAAAGATTATCCTGAAATGACTGGACCAGAACATTGGACCAGTACATTGACAGAAAACTACCAGAATTTCAAGCAGGATATAAAAGAGATCATGGCAGTAGAGACATTATTGCCAATGACAGATGGATCTTGGCCGAAAGCAGAGTACCAGAGGAATGTCTATCTTGTGTTTCATTGACTATGCAAAGGCATGTGTAAAAAAAGCATAAAAACATAAATGAAAATTATATATATATCTCAATTATCTGATCATAACTATACCTGAGTAGAGGAATGGGAGGTAATGGGAATGCAGTCTTCAAGGTATCATGTGTATCTGTATTATTTTAAACTCATTGCAGTTGGGTAAAAAACATATAGTTGACCCTCCAGTGGGGTATCAAAAGCTATAAATTATATGGGAGAAGATTGTCCATCTTTATTTCAAGGAGCAGTTGTTGAATTCAAATCACCTACCTTTGGCATATCTAAATGTGTTCTGTTGTACTGTTCATTCTAATGCGAAACTTTTACTTGGACCAGGAGGCAGTTGTCAGAACAGAGCAAGGGAACACTGCATGGTTTAAAATTGGGAAGGGCGTACGCCAGGGATATATCCTATCTCCACACCTTTTCAACCTATATGCAGAACAGATTATCCAGGAGGCTGGGCTCTATGAGGAAAAATGTGGGGTCAAGATTGGTGGACGATTTATCAACAGCCTGCGTTACGCAGATGACACAACCCTGCTTGCTGAAACTGAAGAGGACCTGAAGCGCCTGCTGCAGAGTGTCAAGGACTGCAGCCTACAATATG